ACCACTTCCCATACAAACTGGGATCCAATGAACTGGAATGGGTGGCTGAGGAAAAAGACCTCGGCGTCTGGATTTCTAGCAACCTGAAGCCGAGTAAACACTGTCTATCAGTATATCGCAAGACCTCGGCACTGCTCGGGATGCTTAGGAGAATATTTTATCGTTTTACGCCTGAAATTCTCCCTATTATCATGAACACATATCTCCGGCCGACAATGGAATACGCGATCCAAGCCTGGTCTCCATGGCTGCAAAAGGATACACAACTGCTAGAGCGTATCTACCACCGCGCGACCAAGCTGGTCATTGGCCTCCGAAACGTTCCCTACAGTGAAAGGCTACGTAAACTCGATTTGTTTGATTTAACTTATCGGCGTATACGAGGAGACCTCATCCTGATGTTCAAGATAATAAACACCCCTAATCACCCTTTAAAACATTTGTTCACAGTTAATTTGGCCCGACAGACCCGACGGAATCCATTGGCCGTTGACATTCCATGTTCCCGCATTAACTGTCGGCGCTACTTTTTTTCAGTCCGCGTATCCCTCACGTGGAACAAACTACCAACATCTGTTGTGGATTGTGGTAACCTCGAGACTTTCAGACATTCGCTTGACGAATACATAAGATCTCACCCAACTTCCCTCATCAACATTTGAGATGCATATTACAAACAACAGAACATATATGTCATATCATTCCGTTTATCTGTATACATACACACACACCAATATCCTTTGGTCATTGTAAAGCAAAATGCTTTTTAGACCAATATAACCTTGATTTACCTTGATTTAAAAGTTGAGATCCATGGGAAATGTGTTGTCACCAGGTTCGACAAACAAAGCCATCTCATTTGTCAAACCTGAGGAGTGTAAAGTAAACCATCTTCAACGACCGATCTTCCAGGTTGAACTTTGAATTATATGTTCTTCAGATGTTTTTTATTCTCAAAGAACATCGAAGAACACCAAAATACGCTAACTCGAGATTGTGTTTTTTTGTCGCGTAAACTGGTAAGGAAATACGAATTGGTGATGGTCCGTGGCCTAGAAACTCCGTCCATTCAAACAAAAAGCTATGAGCAACATGTCACCGGAAAGTGCAAACAGATTATGCTGACCCACTGTGAAATTCGCCACTTCGAAAATCCTATAGTTTCGACAAAAACAATTTGGATGTGCTTCTAGTCAGCGGCCAGTATTCGCCCAGTGGAATGGAATTTTCGAAATCAATAACCTGTTCCTGATGGACTAAACCAATCGGGCAGCTGAGTACAGGGTACCAGTCCAAACTTTTGAGCTGCCAACTGCTTTTTCCGCCATGGGTATGACTGCTTCAGTGGACAATGAAATATGGTGAACTGCGAATACATGACTTTGGATTGGGATGTTTTTTGGTTTGAGCACATATGCGACAATATGCAAGATTCTGACGCAAAAATTTTATTCCACTCTTGAAGGTTTTGCAGCTTAGAGCATTGTGTGGCTAACCGGCCCCGTGGCTTGGCTTCGGAAATGGCGCGTTCGTTAAGAAATTTGGGGCTGTATCCTCTTCATCTTTCACGATATTCGAAAAGGTCTTAAATCAATACATGAAGCGTTCATCCAGTAATCGAAGAACCGACGCTGTTTTGCATTACCAATGGGAGTACCATAAATGAATCGACGACCTCCACATGTGCGTCAGCTAGGTTCGTTTAGCTGCGCACCATGATCGACGTAGGTTCCATGTGACTAGTTGCCCAGGTATCGTGGACCCCTAACCGCATCTTGGTAGTGTGCGTCAGCTAGGTTCGTTCAGCTGCCTGCTAGGATCGACGTAGGTCCCACTTGGTTAATCGATCGACGTCATCGTATTTCTGGCATGATTCGCGAGCTAAAACGTGACGCCATTGTATTTAACAACAAACTTGCAGGATTTCGGGCCAATAATCAACGGTTACCACGCGATTTAAACTGGTAACAGCAATTATCGAGCAAAACTACCTACAAGAGCGGCACCTGCGCATACTTGGCATCGACAGGTCAACTCTAGAATGTTCGGGGAATTATTTCAGCTGTAAAATTATCTGGAAGTTCCATCAATTGTAAGTGAATTACCCTTTTTCCGAAATTCGCGATTTCTTATTGAATTGAGTCAGTGGTGTTTTCTGACCTTGAAGATTCACTCGTTCAAAAAATCATCAATGTGGATCATTTGCAATAATATATTAACATATATGTCATAAGTAGACACTGTACCCCATAAGGTGGCAATCCTGAGAGTTTCGTCGCATTCGAGAACTCAAGTCCATTGTGCGGATACGGAACGGCCTTTAGCAAGTAACAACGTTTCATACTCGCCTGAACAGTCTCCGACAGAGTGGCATGCGAATGCTAGTAGATGAGTGCCGGGAAGTCTCAAATTAAGATTGTTGGTCGGCTGCTTTGGGAGTAAACTGAAAAGCACCCACATCATTTCAAGGATTGGATAAGTGGTATTTTAGCATGGATACCACAACCATACGTCTTGCACTTGTGTGTATTTCGTTTAGAGCCACCCGGTCTTAGTACTTCTGCCATGCAATCTTCCTGTGCTAATGCTTTTCGAGTTCGTAATCGGAATGCCTTCACCACTCTAAAAAGGACGGGTCGTGTGACTCACAGAAGGGTTATGTTTAGTAAAAAACTTAAAGCGGAGCAATCATCACACGTGTCTAATTATTTGTAGAATTCTACGGATCTCGTTGCAGCTATGGGTTCCATATTAGAAGCTGGAATATGGACACGCCAGAGAGGTAGGGATCCTGGGCCTTGTTCCGACGTGATTAAAGGCCGACTAGCAGACCGCTTTAACAGTTGTTGGTGACAAACATACTCATTTTCGAGCCGCTTTACGCGGGAATGTTTCGTTATCTCTTAAAATGGTCCCTCAGGTGTCCGTACGAGTCTTCTCGCCATCCACTTATTTTGCACTCGGTTCTCACTGTAATCCAAGTTTTTGCTTATTTGTCGTGCTCAAATATGAAACAAACTATTCCTTGCGAAAGCCTCCAAAATTTCGCTAACCTTGCTGCCGACCAACTCAGTAGTTTCATCGATAAACTTTAAGCTCACTGTTGACCAACCCAGTCAGAAATTTTGCTATCGTAAATATACCCATTGGTTGCAACAATTTCGCGCTATTCACCACCCCCTAACCTACGTAGGTCGGCTGCGCCAACACAGAAAACTGGATTCTTCAAGCGTGCCGCCGGAAAATACGCGACCAACCTTCCTGTTGTATCTCTACAAAACCGAAATCTTAGTGCCCACCGCCCACGACCCAAGGATCCAGGTCCGTATCTGGGCCTGACCACGGGTCGGATCGTTAGCAAATACCCCTGGTTGGATTTCCGCCGTACGTTTATTGCTATTTAGCCTCGAAATAATCCGTGGATGTGCTGGATCCAGAGTCTGAGAATAAGGACGAAACGGTACATCTGTAGAGCGATGTATCTATCTGTTTGCTTGTAAGGTTAAGAAACACTGACCATGTGCCGGCGCGGCTTTCAAATGCATTGTTTGACGAGGATAACAATTAGTATTCATCGGACAGAAAAAGTGCCGGATGCAGACGGGATACAGACAGTGATTGGGACAGGGTTACAGAATGGAAAGGAACCGGATTCTGAAGCAGCTTCCACATAGCTGGCTAAATATGAAGAAACGGAGTGCTGACAGAAAAACCTTTGATATATGAATAGTTCGGTAGAAAGTTTGAATCTACCATAGTAAAGCTCGTATAGTCGGAAGCAGAAGCAAAATACGGGACGCCGTAGGGGAGTCGATACGAACCTGAATTGCTCAGTTGAACGATCACCAAATTCGAGCCAGAAACGACACAAAGGTGTAATCGGAACTGTCCGACCTGGAGACCAAGCAGGCCAGATCTTCAGCAGCTGCGATTGTTTGAGTGGCTGACATAGTGATACGTCGGTGGATAAAGTAATTTGGACCAGAACTGCCTTAGATTTTTGAAGTTATCAGATCGCTAAGGCTATTGTGTTAGAAGCGACAGAGCACAGAGCGAAACCTGTCAAAACGCATTGACGTACTGAGCAACTCGGTGTCCTGAGCCCGTAATGGTGCCAAAGTGGCTTTCAGTGATCATCACCGTGTAAGAGGAATTAAGTCGAAACGAGGCTAACTGTAAAGCGCCGTGCCGATGCATTTTGGGTTCGCATTAGTGATGCAGCCTCCAGTCTACCCGAAGCAACATCTCTGGCTGAGGTGCTCCACTTGTGTCAGAAAAGTCCCGCCCTTAATATCATGGATATTTGCTTTGGATTTTCCGTGATCATTGTTGTTTAGACCTGGTTAAATAGGGGTTTGCACTAGCTGGTCATATGGACCTAGGGTACGTCTACCGATGACTGTTCGCATGTGCTACGTGGCTCAGCTTTTCAGCTGCATCCAGCTGAATTGATAACTGAATCACCACTTCAGGAAACCGATGATTTTCAAAATGTTCCCTCTTCTCCACCCCTCGGTTTAGACCAGGTAGAAAGTGTTTAAGTGGATGCGAATGCGGATCAGCGTTAGCCGTACGTGGCAATACCCATTGTTAGCGAATGTCCACCGACCTAGTTTTGAGACGGATGCCGAACAACCAAGTCATCTTCAACTTTATTAGACAACATACAACTGTAAACTTAAAAACCACAATTCTGCACTTGATTCAGTCTCACTTTCAGCTGTGTTTCCATTTTCAATTTCTTTCAATAGTCTCCTTCAGCTCAAATGCATATTCTAATCAAAATGAACCAAGGCCGGTACTAAGTGTCTCTCCCGACGTATCAAACACCTGATACATTAACACGAATTCCCTTGGGACTTGCTACTTACCCTGATCGTGCTCATTAATATGTACCTAGTTTCACTAAATCCATCAATGGTTATCTCGACAAGCAGACGCAACCTGGATCCACATATATAGCGATTCACGATACAATCAAGCAGTGTATTGTAGGCTGAGCGGAAGGCTGTTGAACACATGGATAACCTTATCGTATGTAAGGGGGCAGTTTGACAGCATTAAGGATGTTATATTCTAGCAACAACACGCCCGAACTTCAGAAAAGACCTTGTTGAAAAAAATTACCTTGCACAGGATAGTCCAATGAGAATTAAGCAGAACAGACGCAGAAAGAACATGATGAGTGCCGAATGCAAATAAAAAACAAAAGCGAAAGAGTATGGATAAGGGAAACAGACATCTTAAATCTGGTGACTGGATGAGTCCATACATGGGACCGCAGTCAAAATGGCCACTAAAGTGTGTGGAGTGTTTGGAGGGGAATTCATCGTGTTAGCTCCGAGTAGCAATGGTTACAAACTCGAACAGGATCCTTACTGGCCGCAGTGGATGCACGGTTTGACGAGCACGGATGACAGAATACTCCACCACAATTTCGACAGTGGTGCTTGAACAAAATAAACAAACAAAATAAACAAGTCATGAATAGGAAAAGGATTGTAAAAGGTTGGACAAAGATTAGAAAACCATAGCCTACCGAGAATGAACACCCTCGCCGGAGGAAGTAATTAAATGGTGTAGGTTGTTATTTATGCATTTGCGGTGGACTCTCAGAGATGAAACATCACATATACACTGCTCACCACGGAAGCAAGAATGAAAGTGAGTCACTTTTTTCTAAACTTTTCCGCGATTCTTAATAGGACTACAGTCTATTGGAATCAGGAGATCTTACGGCAACAGAATCCGATCATCGCCGACGGTCTTTACGGAGTTGCACTGGAAATCATGATGTTTCAAACAACACGCACAAGTAGGACAGCTGAAGTCATTGAACGAATGCCAGTGAGTTTAACACACAACCCCGATGGGACTTCTAAGCGGAGTGAATCAGCTGCTAAGACGTGGAAGGGCTTCGGTGGTGGTCTGGTTTCACTTTTTACCTATCGTTATTTCTTTGGACGTCTAACAAACCCAACGTGTGTACTTTGCCTTCATAGAGAGTACTGTGTGTTTTGTTGCTATTTTGCTGACCTGAAAAGAACGGCCCGTAAGATATTGCACAGTGAGCGCCCTATATAGTAACACATGCAAGGTTGAACATATTGAGACCTCACCTCAAACTAATCAATTCCTCAAGCGATAGCTCAAGACCTTAGGCACAAACACGCCTTGTACATAGATGCACAAGTTGAAGCTGGATGTGATGGATGAAGGATATAGGGAAAAACAAAGAAGAAACCACTAGATTATGAGCGTGGAGCTGTTCCTGAACCAAGGATCATTCCACCTGAAAAGCCCTGTGCAGTTCTCCCCACACCTGTTATTCCATCATCAAATAAGACTGTTCATTCCTCGCTATGAAGACGGATGAATAAACATTAGTGAGGCTCTGGATGAGAACCCCGGGCTCAACTAGCAAACACGGCTCAATCACACAGTAAGTGGGATTCGTGCATCAAATTTATCGCATTCAATACGTAGCTGCTCAGTCTTCGGAACTACATGATCAGCCGTTGCCTCCAGATCTTGGCTATATTTTTCACGCTCTACCTACTCCCAGTAATCGAAAATGCGGCAGCTGGAACCACGTACCCTTGACACATGGTTTATAGCTAATAAAATGAGCTGAAGTGAGCCTGGTCTCAGGCATCCTGCACATCAGTGTATTAACTATCTTAACCTAGATTCTTCTGACTTAGATCCTCATAGCATAGAAGCAAAGCCTGCGTACAGCTTTCAACTAAAATTGCAAACATGGACCCCCTGCAGGCTTGCACAAGATGTTGAGTGGCGGACTGTGTAAGTCAAGCACAAGGACAGTAACACCCACCCACTGAGCTGTCACAACAGAATTTTCAGATGCACTAACTTCATCAATGTTCTTTGGAATTCATCAGCATCCAAGGAATCAGATAATGAACATGGATCAACGCCGAGCGATTTTATGTACCACAGTAGTGAGCAGGTCGCATATAGAATACTGTACCAGAAATTTACCAACCCACCTTCAACTCAAACGGAAAGTGTGCATGTATGAATTTCGAAGGGAAAGAAAAACTAGCTTACGCGTCGGTTGCTGATGGAAAATTCACGGTTACAACTAGCGCAAGCAGGCGCGTCATCATCTTTGGTCCACTGGCGGCTAGTCACCCGTTCACGCAAGATCTGAAACAAAACGTGAAAGATGGATGCTCGGATCACAGGAAACAACTAACCTGGAGCGATTGGTTTTCTCTTCCCAGTTCAAAAATGGCCTTGTTCAAACACTCGACTTCGTTCACCTGCCTACCGAGTTCATCTCTCAGCGTTGTGACTTGATCTTCCGATTTGATCAAACTAGATGCAAGACAAATGAGCGGCAAAGTCATGAGTGATACATAACGCTCCGAAATTATGGTTCCCGAGCAGAATGGATAAAAGAGGAGATACTTTGAACTTTCGTTCACTTGATTTAAACCTCACATGCACACGGTATAGTGGAAAGTGAAGGGTTCTCCATAGGTGCCAGAAAATACATATATCTGGACTGTTAGACTGGTACGACTGAGAAGAAATGTTCTTAAAAAGTTACGTTGTAGACGCTACAGACTGTGAGACAGATGCTAAAAAAACAATGAGATATAAGTGATGACAATATAACATTATCTGAAAGACTGACTCACTCTCCATATGGAGTCTGGGTGCCGTTCGTCTGCCTACAGGGTTAATCAAGTCGGAACTTATTGATTTAGCTGGTTTTTATGATTTCGGTTCAATGGAACTTCCGTTTTTGCAATTCATTTCAAGTCCATCGTCTAGAGTTTCCGTGTACTTGATCACTCATTCCAGACAGTGTTATAATAACAAACTACCCACTTGAAAGCTTTTTATGTTTCCCTCCCAAAGCAGTTGCTTATGAGAAGCTGCACTGAAAGCCACTCATAGCGATCAATCCTAAGCAACCTATGCTTCTGGTCAACTAAGTTTGTGCTGCAACTCTTGTTTTGATTGTCGGTCCAACTAAAGTATAAGGAAAACTTAGCACCATATATTTGAATAAAGAGCATCGAAATAAAGGTTCATTTCAGAGACGAAAGAGTTTCAGTTCAGGTCCCCGTTTACATCATCTTTTCGGGCAAATGAGTCAGTGAGTACAAAAACTATTACGAAAAGTCTGAAACTGCTGATGCGATACTTTAGAGAGAAATGTTGTAGTCTACCTGAGCTTGGCTAGCTATGTTATAATATACAGTCGTGAACAGATGTCAGTAGCATTCCTAAGGTCCATTTCCTATGCCGATTGTTTGATTGGATGATGGGCATTACCACACCCCTTCTCTTTTTCAACAAGATAGTCTTGAAATAAGCTGACAGGGTTGTGTGCATCGGCGTCACAGACGGGTGCAGCAGTTGAAGACAATAGGTGACTTCCCTGATTTCACCACGACGCTCCTGGTTGTACAAACATTACAAGAAGCGCATGTAACGAGAATAAAGTACTGCGAGGACAGTGAGGTCCCACGTTAGGTTCTGTGGCCTGTCTCCGAGTGAAATTCTTGGAATCAAAGCAATGTAAGCGGAAGAGTTAATAGAACATTAAAGGTAGTCTTTACTGTTTTACGTGACTAGCGGTGCCCACGGTTGATACCAATTCCATGGAGGAAAGCTAGTTTCTATAGATAACACAGTAAATACGATTCGGAACGTAAATACGAATCAACAAACAACTCGCGGAAAATTAGGCGAAACACTGACCGCTCCATGAGTGAATCTGCCTCCTTCTTCGACACAGACAGTTGGGCTGAAACGAAGATAAAGAGTGGATACTTCAGGGGTTAGCAGTGAACAGTGATACGGATTCATCCATCTGAAAACGAAAAATTGTCTGTGATGTCTTAAACACCCCAAGAAAAATAAAAAATGGGGGAACTCACAACGTGCCTGTTCCAATTCGAATTCCAGTTGCTGGCGAGATTCAGTAAGTTTCGCTTCAGCACTCTCAATAGTAGCCAAATGCTGAGTTACCTGGCCCGCGAGTTCGTCACATTGAGCTCGCAACAAGTCGCGTTCAGTTTGCATGGACGACAGTGAATTCGACAAACCTTGCTAGAACGTGAACGAACGATGGGAAACGAACGCGTGCAGATTAAGCAGAGTGCTGGCTAAGCGAATTCAATAGCTCATACGAAAATGTACAAGCACAGACGACGCTCCTAAGCATAAGGGCGAGATCGAGGACGAAGAAGGAATACCAACATGAACAAATTTTATCGTAGTGGAACAATACAGAAACAATAGTTCACAAACAAAGTGAGCAGGCAAGAAAGCAAACTGGAAATAAAGATGACATATGTGGTGGTTGATCGGCAAAACGGGACCTCACTGTGAAGCATTGATTCGCAACAATTGAGAAATGATCGCCCGGCAATAAGGCTAATCCCGACGACTAACAGGATCAATAGCAGCCTTCAAATCAACAGCCATCGTTGAATGATTCTTGCTTGCTTCATGATTCTCACAAATCGGTCTCTACTGCGATCAACCTGCACAAAGTAATACTAGAGAGCACCTCGGATGCTACGGCTACCAGACCGATGACGATCTACCTGTCCTCTTTGTGACGAAAGGTATCACGGGTTGAAGCGCTTCATTCCACCGGTACTATTTTCATTTAAACTTATTGGAGTAGGGTCATCAGACTACTCACCATGGCTTCACTACCCGCTTTGGAAAGTGCAGAGTGCAAGCCATTATGTTCAGTTGCCTGATCGCGTTGGATTCTCCCTGAGAACATGTTGTTGAACTGTTCAGTCCATCATTCCAGACGAAGATTCTGTGAATGAATTATGTTTCATCTTTTAGCAACTCCACTGACAACAGTCTTATTTTGGCCAGTTGCTCGAGTCAGCTGAAGCATGGTGCGGTTGCTGACCACAGCAACCATATCTGCCGGGCTTGGCGAAATCCAACATTCATTTAACCGAGTCGGCCTTGCATTGATTGTGCTAAAAACTAACAACATGGCTTCTTCCAACCTCTTCTATTAGTCCTCCAAGCCATCGTCATCATCCAGATGACTGTGTGTTTCCAAAGGCCATCCAGCCAGTAAGCCGCTAAGTCAAGGGGTGTGAGATCTCCGCGCCTTCTTTGGTGGAGTCCACATGATTCTTTTTGCGCTTGGTTGGAAACCCCATAGGACACGGAGGCAGTCTATCCGTCACTTCCTAACCGGAGTGCTTAGCCAACACTTGTTCTTCGTCGTGTGCTGAGCTTGTGCCAGATGAGGTCCGCGAAAGATGGATCTTGATAGCATTTTAGTTTGACATAGTGTTCGGATATGACGACTTCAATGGTTATGGAAATGTGGACACCTACCCCCCCGGCGTTTTCTCCTAAGTCCTTATCCTCTAGTTTCTTCTTTCCCACGCATCAAGCACCCGTTTCCAGCCTACCGGTTCATGAAATGTTTATTCCACATGTTACCAGTATTTGTGGCTGGTACACAACACCTATAGTCAATACGTACTATGCAGAGCAGTTCGTTTTTATATCTTGGCGAATCTTCCAGACGGTGAGCAGGTAGCCAGAAGATTCTGCTTCATCGAGCACAGGCTGGTAATTGGAACAAAATTTTCTTCAGTTGTAACGTTTTTGCACATCAAACCGGTGTAAACGTGTAAGCTCCGAACTGTTCCCAGCTTTGACATTCCAATGAGACAAAAAGCGTAATTGAAATCCGCCGACCGTATCTAATTCACAAAGTAGAGGCGGACACTAGCTATGTTGAACGCATGACCATCATCGAGAGACGATTGTTATACGGTCAACCTGAGTGTGCGAGTGATTATGGTCGGAAAGACATCACGTCACATGATGTCGACGTTTACTTCGGAAATTTGTGCTCGCATTGAATGAATCAAATGTCTTTGTTCGTTCTTAGAGCCTCTACACAGAATCTATCTCTAGAACGGTTCTCAAATCTATTGATCTTTTTCAGTTAGGCATTTAAATAGCCAGGTAGAATAGCGCTGTATGTGTAGGCTGTCATCCGAAGAAGTTTAGAAAAGATGTCTTTGACAATGTCGTTTGCTGTATTTTGTTGAACCACATGTAGAGATTGGATGAGTCGAGATTCTAACAGACCCGGCCAGTCCGACTGCATCTATTAGGCTATTCACGGGAATCAGACAGGATGTTTTCTGCTCTCCCGTTCAACGCAATACCATACCACTGAGACTGTGGAGTGCCGATACTGAATCATCAAACACCCGCAAAAGTAAGCCGTGAAAAAACTGATCTATCTTGGATCGTGTTTAGATGCATCAACGCGGTAGCGACTTGTATACGGGGAAAGCAGACATCGAATTTCAAAGAGTAAGGGGTTTATGAACAAGGGAGTTCCAAGGATCTGTTCACCGAACAGTGGAGACATCAAACGCAGCTACGTTGATCAGATTCCTTGATGTTGGTAGAGCATTTCTAACTTGTATTCCTCAATCCAAAGGCCACAAAACAGAAGCTTAATTTATGGAGTTACAAACACAGGGTGTCGTATTGGCAAAGATAGAAGTAGAGATGTTCTACGGGTCTTGGCTCGAGGTAAGGACTCAGTAGTCTACCCATTTGACAACGGAGACCTGACTTAGCCTGACGGCACAGGGAGTAGGGCATAACTGCCCGACACTTAAGTTACTGAACAGTGGGTGATTTCGGGGCCGTACCGGACTTTTGGTTTTTAACATTTTGACATATAGAACGATGCGCTGGCGATCACAGTCAAGTGTTGACCAACTAGCATTGTATGGTTTTTAGGATCAACCCGTTCCGCTTGCATAATACGGAATTATTAGTCGCCCTTTTACCATCATAGGGGGCAACACGACTTTGTGTGACTACCGTTCTTTCAATTTCTAAGCGTCGTTGTCCACAAGATCATTGCAGTGATGGAGCTTAATCACCACGTAAATTGGTCAGCTACTGTTAGGTAGAGAGAACCACATGTCAACACTATTATCGTTTTCGATTTTAAGGAAGCAGTAGCTGTCACCATCTTACGGTAGTGTGAACTGGCCCGATCATTATCGCATACAAAAGATGTAGTGACTCTAGCTGTCATGTCATGCCCACCGTATTTTGATGAATTCCATTCGCATACCATCAGGCTTCTTGAGGACCTTGTGGTTTGCGTGGTGAAATTTGGAATTTCGACCCTTTGTGTGTAAGTCAGAAAAGATGTTTCACTCTTAATTGTATCAATGCACCGTAGTGAGTTTCATTTTCATATCAGTCACAGAGTAAACAAAAGGACGCAAAATAAGGGCATAAATTGCACTTGTTCTCTGTTTCATGGAACTAGACGCAGAGAGACTCGAAAGTGTCCTATTAATTGACAGATACTTCAAAACGAATAAAATTTTCCCACTGAAGGTACCTGTCTCGCCCGACTGTCTTTGTTAGGCGTTGTTAGTAATTAGTACACGTGTGCACAATGTGTATTGACCGAAATATCTGGTTTTTAAGTTATAGAAAACCTTGATTCTTCATTCTGTCCTCATAGAAGGCAGGGCGCGAAAAAGGTTGAGAACCACTGTGGTGAGCCACTTTTGAAGGACGAAAACGGCGATTCATATGAAGGAGGTAGCAAACGAAATACGGGCATGCTACGCTGAATAATCATCTTCAAGCCTAGCCTTCAATGATACCGCATGTGGCACAAAGTGTTCATCTTACATGGCCAAGTGGTAGAGAGTAGCCACAAAGAACCGTTGAGATATGAGTGCCGAAATAACGCGGGGCCTACAATGTTAAACAAACGTAGATCACAGAACGTGACTGGAAAGAAGCAGAAGCCTATTTGTTGTGTAAAGCAGATATCAGCTATCGACGCATAAAAGTGACAATATAAACGGGTTGGGAAACAGGACGAGTCAGTGTTTTGGAGAGCTGGTTTCAGTTGGCTTCTATTGTTTTTCATGCGCCTGGAGTGCAGTTAAAATTCGGCAGAGTGATGAGATAAACTAATGAACTGCGTGTAAATACTTCTTTCGTGACTGTCATTCAAAGCGATAAAGATTACCTACCAACTAATCCCTAATTCTAAACGAACTTTGCTCTATGGAGCATGAAACAAATTTGTTTCAAGGAAGGAAATAGCTGGGCTACACAAAATCGAACCCGAGAGCCTGGACGATTGGCCACTCTATTAAGGCTAACAAAATCATTGTCTCACCGTGGCACATGGTACAAAGTGAACACGATAAGTTCATGCATACATTATGGGAATTGTATAGCTTGAACGATAAAAAGCGGCTCAAACCATATTAATTACAGATGGGTCACCGTTAAAGGTCACAGGACTTACCATTTTGGCCATTTGCGTCTCCATTTCAGATTCGTGTTTCCGCTTCAGCTCGGCCATTTGAAATTCTAGTGTCTGGACAGCTGTGCAACTTTGCGAGAGCTGGTCCACCGTTGTTTGGTGCGTGTGATGCAACTGTGCCAAATCCTTTTGCAAAGTTACAATTGCCAGAGCTTGTTGAGTTAGTTCATCGCCTTTCCTCTCAAGATCAGCACGCAGTTTCGAAGTAGTACGTTCAGCTTCTTCAGCCCGCAATTTGGCTTCCAGCATAGATGAATTGATGGCATCCAACTGAGCCTGATATTGAACAAGCACAGTTATTCATACAGAAAATAAGTGGGGGATCCTGTCTCTCATTTGGATTACTCTCCACTCAAGTGTTTTGATTACGGGTTATCTCAACGTCATTCCGAAAGAAAACTAGCCCAAAGTACAAAAATTATGAGGATATACTCAGACCAATTATTCGACGTGTAGGCGTCGGCTTGAAGCACGTCGCAAGTTTCCTAGCCAAAGCAGCTGCATGATGCATCCAAAATTCGACATATATGCTGCACAGACCGCACAACTTATCTGCGAGTCAAAACGGTAATCAGGAAGGAACTCGCAGCGGTTACACTTTTACAGTGAATTCATCCATCAGGTAGTCTTCGCACGTGTAACGTAGAACCCCATCTCGGAAGTTTCTGAGGGCTAGGTTACCCATAAGAGATTTGATCGGACCGGCAAAGCACTGCACAGAAAAGTGATCAACGAACAAATCGAACAAAGTCAATACCACCCAGTCTCCTTCCATTTCGGAATATCCCAATCACCGACAAGCTATACTGATTTGCAAATGAGTGTATTTTTCAAAAACAGTGCAATTTGGGTGTAAGTAGAATAGGAGGTTGACGGAAACTCGAGGACTGTGCCTACCTGATGAGCTCCAAGAAGGGCGAAACCGGTCGTGGGCTGTCGAAGAGTTTTCAGCAACCTTATGAGTAGTTTCCTCTATGAAAGCTATATTATTGTTCAATCCACTTTAGACACTGTACTTGAAGGGCTCACCGAACAAGCGTACAAAGAAACACTTAAAGGAGCGATAAACAACACACTTCCCAGTAAGTGACAGACAGTTGATCTCCGTCGTCGAAAAAAAAAACTTTCTCTAGCTAAATACCCTAACCGATGGTAAACAGATAAAGCTATGCTGAGAAAAGAGAAGTGACGAACGGCTTATCAGTGCTTGTTCTCATTCAGCGATCATGTGTATCACAAATCCTCCGAATGGGCATTTGATGAACTGGATGAAATCCTTACTTTGGAGATACATGTACATGAACAGTAAAAGTGTCAATGTCTATCTACGTACCGTTTGTTTGCGAACAACCGTAAAAAAGTTTAACTACTTTGTGGTTGCTAAAGCTTCATCTATCAGAGTAAGTGAAACCATCAAGTTGCACACAAGGCGGTCCATTTGTTCGCAACCATATGAATTAATTTTTGAACCTGTTACGAAAACGACGTTTGAATGAATAGATGTGAAAATATAACTAGGTATTAACTGAATGTAGCTGTAGAATCATCGGGAATCACAGTTGCAGCCTAAAAGTTTCGAATATCCGGTTGTGAGATGTATGCAGATTGACTGAGCTCCGCAATCAAGTTCTGTGCATGATGAGTAGAAGGCTATACACCACGAAAAAATGATCCTTACTATTGAGGCACTGCGTTCAGAATTTCGCAGGGATTCGCTTTGGCCCAGCCGTTGTTGGAGAAGTTGAACTTGAGACATAAGTTCCTCAACCGCAGCATTTTTAACGCCAGTGTCAATCAATTGATTGTCATCTGTTGGTACCTGTGCGGAGGAAAAAAGGAAAATAGCTGCTTCTGGAGAGACGACCTGAAAGAAATTGACCAAGTCAAATCTGTTCTGAAAGAAGATCAAAAATGCAGAAAAAACGAGAAAAGTTCATTTAATAGAAACAGTAACATTCACAGGAGGAAAATTCTCTCAATTCGTCCACCACCATCGCCACTAAAAAATAATCAGAAATAATCATCTACCTGTAACACCCTTTCGGTGACTAGATGCCATGCCACCCGAAGGAAGCACGAGGGTTGGGATACTGCCAGGTTGCCCAAGCCTAGACAGGGGGAGTCGAGAGGTAGAGGTTGGGTTGGTTATATGGGCCTTCCGATCAGTAAATTCGCGCTCTAATCACCTAGACATCTCGCGCCCTATTCTGGTGATGCCTATTGTCGCCACCCCTTCTCAGTTGTGACGAAATTTAGCTCCTTGGCTTTAAGCTAAAAACTGCGTCGACGAGATCGACAAACTTGCCTCATAACTTTACTGGACCGTTGAGTCAATGAACTAGCGCAAACATCTCATTCTACATTCTAATCAGTGAACCTATCGTCCTCCAATATTGCTTTGCTGTCGTTCACGGCACTGTCTGGCGTTTCCTTGTGTCAATCCCATCGTTGAATGTCTGTCGCGAGCGCCGTTTTTTAGAATCTACATTGTAGGTATGTTTTTATTATCGTTTGATACCGTGTAATATTAGAACACGGTAGAATCTGGGGGCGACTTTATCTTGATTGAGATACAACCATTCGTCTACGCTCTAATACAAAATGGTTTGGTTCCGGTAAAACTTGGAATGCTATGCAGTTTACAAACAGTTAGGTTGGATTACGACAAAAAACATGTTATTATCTGTTTCAGAGAGGTTTGGTAAACAATCGGTGGATTTATTGCTGGGCAACGTTTCGCTTTTGACGCAAAACCTCGAACGCGAGTGTATAGGAAAAAACCGATTAATGCGGTCCTACAGCATTAACGGGGAAGGTTGATCTGAAGGGAGAGAACAGACATTTTCGTGCGTCGGACAGGTTGCATGAGTGACTTTCTCCTGCGAGGGATTTTGATCACAGAAGGTCCCGAAATTCACTCGAGGCCTGAAAAGCGACAACAGTTGGGAAAGCACTCCTCGCATGAAAGTCTCAACATACTGACCAAGTCAGCAAGAATGCACTCTTGACTCGCCAAATCATTCGTAATTAGTACCAAGCGCAAGTGATGCAATAAATATATTAACAAAAAAAATACCGAGACACAAGGTTAGCTGGACAACCTGCTGTTAAAGCACTCACCACAGAAGCCGCACACTCTGTCGCAGTCACACAACAAACCTCCAGTTTTCTTTCCAACTCGGAGCATTGTGTTCGACAAATTGATACCTCCTCATTAATATTGTTATTTTCGTTTCGCAACCGCTGCAGCTCGGTCTGTAAGTGGGAAATAGTGAGGAGAGAGGTGCGCATTGTACCTGCAGAAAGTTCTGGTCTAAGTCACTTTGCGCAGTTTGAACGGCTACGTCCTCCGACAACCTTGCGTCCGTTTGACTGCTGAAGTCTTTGGTTGCTTTCTGTAGTGAGAAGAGTAGAATAGGAATCATTCAAATATCAGGATAACCTTAAATCAAGGTCCAGCTGACCAACTCAAACAATTAGGCGTTGATGCAACGTGAACTGGTAGAAAATGCTATGAGGAATTTACTACTATGAGTTTTATTAGAATTAAGTAATCTACATGCTGACACAAAATGCAAACGGAGGCAAGCGACCAAAAACCGATCCCTATCATTAATTTTGGGACCCACTCACAGCTAAAGAATAACACCCTATCATTAAAAGTACTATACACAGGGAGATTTGCCTAAACAAAGCAGTGGAAAGGCGGTTGTATGGATTTCCGCCGGTGTGGGTTGAATTTTCTGTTTTACAAATGCGAAATTTGTGTGTGTGGGTACGATGGCTTTGGCCGTCACAGACTTCGACCCTTTGCACACTAAATGCCTTATATTAAAGGCACTGAAAAGGAAACAAGGAGGTCGAAGGGAAGAAGTGCGAGTGGGTAAACGCGTCACCGGTTTCCAGATTCAGCCATACTGGCGACAGTTCAAACGACGGTTAGGTTGGGCTTTGACAGGTTAGGACTGTCACACCATGGCCTGTCGATGTGCAGCTTTACTCGATAGGTTGAACCCCTTGAACCGTTAAGCCCACAAAGTAACCAGAATCCACAGACCTGACTGGAAACCGCGATTACTTTCCGGGCAAATAGGAAACCGTTACAGACTATCCAGAAGGATAAGTTGAACATGTGAATTCATGACGCAGTTTTTTGACACCTGACTTACTGATACCAACTGCGATTGCAGAACTGCAATCTCCTCCTCCTTTTCTTTTAGCTGTGCGTTTGAATCCTGTAAAGAGAATCGTGAGGCACGGATTATCATTTATGTGCAAATCAGGTCATCCAGTCACCGAGATCAAGTATGCGCATCTTATTCGGGAGTGTTTCCTGCACTTTGAAGCCGAAGAGGATTAGCGGCCTAAGATTTTGTCAAAAATGCTAGCGTTTTGCATCCATACTGATAGCCTTGTGGGCACAGATGTGACCTACGGAGTCCACAGCCAGAGAACATCATAGTACGTATCTCCGGACATTCCAAGAATACTTGCTGCAATTCACTGACACGAGCAAACAGGGAAACGGGAGATATGAATGAGACGACCTAGTGGCACAGGCTTATCAGGAACTGACTTCGGTTTCGCCTTGTTTAACTCATAGACCTATCGTTCTCAAAAAAATTCTAATTTGCTGAAGAAACAAAACGTGCACAAAACCCTAGCTGGTGGTTATTGTGAAGGGACACATTGGTCTAAATGTCATTCAACCAAGTGTTCGGAGCGTACCAAAGCAATTTATGGGGGTTTCGAGTAAACATGGCTGGAAGACGTCGTCAAGACGATGACTCCATAATTTTGATGTACTTGTTGGTTTTGAACCAACCCATCCAAGACACATTCACGACGTTCAACAGCTTAATTCCTGATAGTAGTCCAATAAAGCCATTTCATTTCAACTACGAGTAAAGGAGTGATCATATGTTTACGACGCGAGGTGTATTACCAGCCCCGAAACCACAGCAACAGCAATGACCAAATGCTTGTGATTTAGAGTCTTCTCAAACTAAGGTTAACCAACCCCAAGGCATTCATAAGATTTCAACACAACAGGAGCATTTTTTTTAAAGATTGGCTAAGCTGAGAGATTAAATTGGAGCACAAATATTCTGTTGCACCCAACTCTAGTGTTCTGAAGCAGCCTCGGTCCACGGCAGACCAAAATGGCCTTCTGACAACAACCGTGACAGCGAGCTGAGATGGTGCGAGTTAGTTCAGTGCCATCGGAGCACCAGACCACCGAAACCTAATGTGGAACACAGATCATGCGGTTGAATTTTGACCTACTCCTGATAATGACTTATCAGTTTCAAATCGATTATGCTATTAAAAACTGCTCAAAGACTCAATGCCCATGGCAATGTGCGTAGAGTGACGTTTCAGCTAGTTGGTTCCGGTAAATCCTGATCCTCCACTAAACAGCGAGCTAAGTTGACAAGTCCTTTTGTTTGGGAAGGATTTTTATGGGGTTTGCTTTTGGTGAATGGGGTTAATTTTATCTGAAACTCAAGGGGAGCAGAAATGGTGTTTCACGTGCTAAAATATATGTCCGAGAAAGTGGGAACGAGCTTAGAACAGACGAAGAAATATTACCTGAAGCGCCGATTCCGTTGTGGCTCCAATGAGCTGTTTTTCTAGAAAACGTTCGACCTTGGTTTTCATTAACTGGTCGCTGTGAACGGAGTTAATTAGAGATTCTTAGACCCCCGATAGTGCATGACATATGTAAATAAAATACGACAAAAAGACACTCGGGATTGACAATTTGGGATGGTGTAAGTGAACTCGTTCTCTGCCACACATGGAAGCCATGTGCCCGTCGGAGACAGAACACAGAACACCGGCTGAATTATTAGGAAATGTTCATCGACCACGCACATGAAACTGCACCGTTACACAAAAGAACAACAGCCACGTAAATATGGTTGAAAAAGAAAATCTACGGTCTGCAAATGGTTCTTGATAATGATGCAGATTTTTGTTACCAAATATCACTTTCTACACCAGTCTGATATCGGTACAGCGCATGGTTTAACGATGGCAAACTGAAGTGAGTCCTCCATCAGCATTACTAGTGGAGCGGTAATCGCCCCTTATGACAGGAAAGGCGTCGAGATAGCTCAATGGTTAAGACGCCAGCTTGCGAAATAAAAAGTCCGTGGTTCCAAACCGACCTCAGCATCCCGACCGCTCCTGTCTAGGTTTGAGCAGCCTGGCTGCATCCCTGCCTTCTTTCCGTTGGCACAGCAGCTACGCACCAAAAGGATGCTACAGCTGAACGACTAATATTTATTTATTCTGATAGGAAATGACTGAAGATTAATAGTCTACCTAAGGGGAACTAGAAAGCTTCAGGTTGGCGTGGCTGGTGAGCATTCAATCACAGGGTAACGACACTTGCCTAACGTCCTGGACTGAAAAAAATCACTAGACGGCTACGGAACGGGAAAACCACAACAGAATGATAAACAACTACATTGTGAAGTGAACAAAGTCGGTGGTTCCTTAGCAAGTGAAAAACACATTACTTTCATAGATTTAAAAACCTACTCATAAGGTCGCTGAAAATTCTCCGACAGCACACGACTAGTTCCACCCTTCCTGGGACCCATAAAGTACACACAATCCTGAGTTTCCGTCAACCTATTGGTCTGCATGAACCCAAACTGCACGAACTTCTGCAACTACACTCATTACACACCAATTTCTTTTTTTAAGTGAGACTCATCTGAAATCCAGGTGAATCACTCGTTTATAATGTCCTTCAACTGAATGTGCTGCACCAGTTCTACGTTATGAGCCCAAAGAAGGGTGGAACAAGTCGAAGAGTTTCCAGCAACTTTACTAGTAGTCTACACAATGTAATGTGATGTCTCGAATATCGTACCAACTGAAACATCAGGCGCCCTGGTACAGCACATTCAGTTGGAGAACGATATCGTAAGCGAATCAGCTGGGTTTCAGGTGAGTCTCCAATGGACATCGAATTGCTATGCAAATGAGTGCATTTGTCATATTTCTCATTCAGTTGCGTAAACACATCCGCCTAGAAGTGACGCGATGCGACGAAACATAAGCACTTAATCTCAAGAGACAAGAAGGCAGTCAGTGACGAGTAATGAAGTTACTATGAAAACCTTCGGAATAATCCTTGCGGATACTTCACTCTCGTCTCTTTTAAAATAGATCAGATTATGTTGAAGTAGATATCAAGGTAAAACAGATTCAAGAGATTCACGAAGACTCACGAGATTCACGCCAATATTACCACTGGCGGTACTGTTCGGTACGAGCAATTGTATGATCAATAAGACGTGTAACCAGAATGTAGTTTTCTCTGGCTAACACGCCGGGCTTCATGGCGAACAAAAAGGGAAATATAGTTCTGAAGGCGTTGGCGTGCTTGGCACTTTTCGAAAAAAATGCAATTTTCAGGACTGGAGCGAGATGGTTCAGTGATTAGAGCGCTAATTTACTAACCCGAAGGTTCGTCGCTTGAACTCGACCTCTCGACTTCCGCTGCCTAGACTTAGGCAACCTGGGGGGCGAGATGGCTCAAGTGGTTGGGGCGCGAATTTACTGACCGGATGGTCCGTGGTTCCAACCCGACCTCTGCATCTCGACTTCCCCTGTCTAGGCTTGGGCAACCTAGCAGTATCCCAGCCCTCGTGCCTCCTTCGGGGTGCATGGCAGCTAGCCACCGTAAGGGTGTTACAGCTGAACAGTTCTAGGCAACCTGACAGTATTCCAGCCCTCGTGCTTCCTTCAGGTGGCATGGCAGTTAGGCACCGAAAGGGTACTACAGCTGAACGAGTCTGCAGGATTCGCTGACCAGGTTGCACGGCACATGTCATAGAGAGTCCAATGACCGGACATCGTCGTGAGGAAGACGTTTCTTCACTTGACATTTTGAAAACTGTAGAAAGGCAAGCAGCAACATCCGTTTGGGACAAGTTTTAAATGTTATGGCTTGGTCAAAACTTTCCAAAAAGATTGAAATCCGTTGAAACTCAACAAAACCACGTGTTCTAGAATTAGAGGAAGCTATAAAAAGATACACGTGGACAACTGAATGACTACCACGAATTGACTTTTCGTAGTTCTACCCCACGTTGCAGTCATGTGAGGAAGCTGGAAAAACTACAAACACACAAGTGAAGTTATTTAGTTCGACAATTTAGCACGAGAAGTTCGAACACTGACCTTTTTAGAGTAGAGAATCAACTCGGGTCGAAAACTGCCTGGTGGGGAGTTTTCGGTGTCTCTTACTGAAGTAAACCTCTCCAATTTTACATGTGAACATGCAACAATCGGCGAAGCGTACAGGACTCTGCAGAAAAAATGCACTCCAGATAGATGCTACAACGCTGGCAAAAAGAAGTGCCCGAACTCCTCGGAGCTGACGACTGAGGCACAACAACGGCGACGAAACAGGTAGATATCGTCCCCTCGTGCAATTGATAATAACTCGATGTACTACGGCAAACCAGTGAGTTATCATGCACAATGCGTTCTATTTAGTCAGAAAATGCGACATGGAGAACAGAGTAAGTCGAGAGTAAAATCAAATTGGCCGTACCACATTTGCACAACGGACAGAATTATTAACACACAAAATGTCATTTTCCGGTCGATTTTGTAGCGATCAAATGCTTTGATGTGTGTCCGATGGGAAATTTTTGTACTGAGATTCCATATTCTCGACTAACGGAGTTATGCAGTAGATTTTTGGTTTCCTATCGATGGAAAAGTATCGTTGCGGGATGATGAAATAACCCAACGGAAAGCACCGTGATGTGCACCCGAACGGATTCGATTCACAAAGGCTACTCATTGATTTCATTCGGGCCGCTACGTGATCCCCGAATAAAGATAACGTATAGTTCCAGCGATTGAAAAGCTTTAATCTTCACAGAATTTAAGGAGTAGAAACAAGTCAACCAATGTGGTCCACATTTTCATCTTGTTTACTTTGGTATAGTGAATCAAGACAGAATCGAAACGCGCACGGAAGACGCAAGTCGCCATTGTAAAGTCAATACACACACCTGCTATGCGGATGGTAGTCAGATGAGAACGAACCCACCGGCACAAGACTGTCCCAGCGTTTTTACCAGACAATACGAGTTCTGTCAGAGCGTATGATCCAGGTGTCGTTCCATACACGATAACGTAATCTTCCTGTTGGAAGTGAACTACAGTGGAAATTCCCAAAAGCATAACTATGAAGCGCCAAACCACCTAGGTAGCACCGGCCCGATTCTTTCCTATTGGAGAGACGTACTTTTAACCCCAAATATAGAAATCTCTCCGAAGTAAGGGATTCTGCTCGTTCCAGGTTATTGATTCTAAGACATCACTGGTTATAAAATGTAATAACGGTCCTCAAGTGCTGTGCATTTGGCTGAATAAGTCCACCAGGAAATGAGAGGATTCCTACTAGGGTGCCAACCTTCCATTCAGGTTCTCCAATCTCGGCAGTGGGCTGTCAAAGAGTTTTTAGCAACCTAATGAATAGTGTGTTGCGTCTGTACGACACTTCATTCATCTGAGCTAGCCCAACAACTTTCCACAGTAAAACAATACTGTGGTGGCAGTGAGAACGTGGACGAAGCGTGGCGAATGTGAAAGGAGCTATACTAGCGGCGTTTAGCGCCGCCTGCCCGACTTCTCCAATTCAACCCAAGACCACTGGATATCGTCGAGGTCGTTATCCATGATTGATGCCAGGAAAGCCATACCAGCAGGCAACGAGTACGACGGTGCACGCAAATCCCTTAAACGCCAAATAGTGGAGAGTATAAGGAAAGAACGAGAGCTCTGGTGGACATCGAAAGCTCGGGAGATGGAGAAGGCTTTTGCTACGGGAAACAGCTGTGCCCTATACCAACTGATACGATCGACTGGCCCTAGGAGAGCAACGGTCAGCGAAACGATGAGTGAAAAGATGACTTATTAATTCACTCGCAAGAACGTCGACTGGAGAGATGGGCCGAACACTTCGAAGAGCAGTTCAGCTGGCCTCCTGCAACACAGCCAGTGGAGATGATGCATACGGGCGAATGGAATGTAAGCCTTGATCGCCCTTCGGAAGACGAAAGAAGGTACGAAATAGCCGCACTGAAACGTGAGAAGGCACCAGGACCGGACGGTCTGTATCCAGCCCTCTTCAGAGAAGGCGGAAAATTCCTGGTAAGCCACCTGACAAAGCTTATTGGTACTATATGGGACGAAGAGTAAGTGCCTGCAGAATGGGGCATATCGACGGTTATCCCCATCTTCAAAAAGGGTACACGGACGCTATGCGAAAACCACTGTGGCATCAGCCTGTTAGCTGTGGCATCGAAGGTGCTCTCTGG